GATATTTGGTGGTTGATCAACAGTATTTTTTGAACATCCGCCGCTGATTGATCAACTTCTTGCGGGGGGTAGGTGTAGGCGAGCCATTTGAATCCAATCCCAATGCATCGGACGCGACTGTGGGCAGCACGTGACTGTGGGGTGCGTCTACGCAATGCTCTGCGAATGGGGCAAATTACACATTGTCGGACAGACAGAGCATGTGACCGGTCGATCAACGCCGCTGTTCGTCGCAAGCATGCTGACTAACGCGGTGTGCCTTAGGTATCGCCCCTTATTCCAGACAGCAGCGGCAGCGTCTATTAAAGCTAACTCAGTGAATCCACACTATTAAGGAGGAAAGCGACTTCAAAACTGCTATGCAGAATTCTCAAGGTAATAATACTGTACGGTTTCGAAATCTGGCCCCTAAGATCGGCGGACATAAAGAGGCTAGTTACGTTCGACCATCGGTGCCTTCGCAATTTGACTCACATCTGGTGGGAACACCGCGTGAGTAACGAGCGTGTTCGACACCTTGTTTACGTCCCAAAAAAGGAACTGAACCGCTCAACACCGTCATTTTACGCACCAGGCTCTGATGGCTGGGACACGTGTTGCCCATGCCAACCCACCGACTTCCACGACGTGCGTTGTTTGCTCACCGGGGATGTGGATGGAAGAAGAGGAGGGGGTGGCCAAGTGATGACTTGGTCGAGAGGAATGAAGGCCCTCACTTCGGAGCTGGCCTCGGTTGGAGCGTCACGGCTCCCTGGTTGGGGTCCAAAAGACGGTGAACACCTTTGGATGGATACACTTGCTGACATGGCAAGGAGCCGACCTCAGCGGCGTTCCTGCTGTGAGTTTCTTTGTCCCACTCCATCCCTTGTAGCCTCCCCCTTCATCTCCGATCTCATTTGGTAACGTAAAACATAATAATTTTTCGTTTTGCCTAGTGGCAGGCTGGTAGCTTACCGGAACGAGGCCTATCCGTTGCTGGTAGCTCAGCTGGCATGCAGCTGTTGTATTTATTTTCCTTTTCCTTTATGTATTACGGCACAGTAGCTGAGGTGTTTCCCACCTCTTGCTGACGTGTATAATGATGAATGATGATGATTTTTCAACAGCATTGTCAGAACCAGAAACTGGTTAGGACTGGAGAGCCGTGCCGAATCCTTATGGTATGTTGTTTGGATCGCGTAGATTACACGTCGCGCTGGGAAAAGTCGCCTTGAGTAGATAACTATCTGAACGATAAACGTTGACTTCTTAACTGGTGTTTTTATGTGTGGATGACAAAGCTCTTTGGCTGAATCCAGCCCATGCCCAATTATTTCCGTATAGACGGCCTCAGAGAGTTGCGCACTTTAAAACGTGATTGGAACCTTCAGATTGCAAGGTGCTGCTGTAGGAATGAGTTGACCGGTAGTGCCACATATCATTTTGACTGGATAATTCCTATTCAAGCAACATCGCACCGATTATGATGCAACCCTATCAGGTGTTCCTTTCTGGCCACTACAGTGTTCCATTATTGGGTTTGCTTTCTGCCAGCTACTGCTACTTAACTGCTATCAATCCCGCACTGAAGATGCCACCTCGAATGGTGGCGAAACGTTTGCAACCAAGTTGCCCAGCTCGGAGAACTCCACAACAACTGTACAGTGTGCTCGTTTGCATGCACCCGTAGTGAGACCCAAGCAATTCACTAGTCCGTATTTGACGCAAGTTGCAACACTGCCCCCCATCGTGTCATCTAAGTATGACAGTCAGAACCTGTTGCACAATCACATGTACACTTTAAATCATGTATCCCGTTACAATAACCAAGTTGCTGAGATATGCGCCTGTTCAATTAATTCACACACACACACACACACACACACACACACATCTGCAACCCTGTGCACACCTGGTATATGCGACGGTCGGACTGGCTCAGGCTTAAGCTTAGGCGTGGATAACCTGCTCGTTTTCACGTTTGCGCCCAACGTCACTGTGACCGGTGTATGGGATGTCGGATATACAATAAGGTCACTGTCTTGACTAGACTTTAGGATATTTTGCACTGACTCCAAACAGAAACGGTGTCATCTGATTTACTCATGAGTAGGGGACTTTGATATAATTCATTGACGTTCTTCGTAGCCAGCTCCCAAAGCAGATAGTCGTCCACAAGCCTGTTGGGCATCATCAGTAGTGCGCATCTATCATTTGATACTTCATCTAACTGCTTGTCTCTGTTCACTATTGGTGCCAAGCCTTTTTGTTTGTTTTAAGAAGGGAGTTTATGCGTACGCCTATGAAGTGGACAGTCAACAACATATGGATCAGAGACGTCGTCACTGCGAACTGAAGATGTTGAAAGGTTGATCATGGTTCAGCATCAATGCTCGTGAAAGGACCACAGAATAAGCAACCCGATATGCACCATTTGGTGTTTAACGCATTTTCTGCTATCGTCCTGTAAGGACACATCTTTAAAATGTGAGTTAATGCAATGAATTAATGTAACATAACTTTTGCAATTGAACTTTCAGACAAGACACGAATCCTTATTGTTTTGAATTCACTTTGCTCAATCCAAGTATGTCTTAATTACCTGACTGCGTTAATCGCTTTAGAAAGTGTCTTTAAAAAGGACGCCAGTAGAAAGTGGTTTAATGACACCCTTCGTGCGATATCGATCTATCTGTTGAAATTCGGACCCATTACCTTCTCCGGGCTTGCCACGAGCCTGCATTGGTCGCTGTTGGTTAGCGGAAACTCCGAGATGGTCGGTTGACCACATGACATAATCATACGATGCAAACGGTTGGGAGTAAGTCAGTGTGGTGCATACCGTTCTCCTGGGCAGGAACCTCGTAATCAAGCACAGCGGCGATCAGGAACCAGTTTGGAACAGGTCGCAATCACAGGTCGACACAAGGTCTTCGCATTCGGTCACAGTTGCAAACCTTTCCTTACTACAAACCTTTTCTCCAACTATTTTCTGCTTGAATGTTTGTTGCCGCTTCATCGCTTCAGCTATGCACCACAATATCACGGCGATGTGGAACAAGGCAGCTGCGTCCATCACACTCTGCTAATCGGATATTGCCTAGTTAAACCAATTGATTGATGATGGATTCGTGCCCATCATCTGTAGCATCGGATGAGAATCCGGAGGTCTTTATCGAACCCCATACAAGTTGAGTGTGGTGTGCTGCAAGGCTCAGTTCTAGGTCCACGTTTGTTATTAGTGTTTATTAATGACCTTGCACAAGAAATCGCTTCAAACTTCCTAACGTGTGCCGACGATATCAAGATCTGGCGCAGGATCCAGGCGAACGCCAACCAACATGTGCTTCAGAGTGACCGAGACACGGTGTATCAATGGTCGACCCAAAACTTATTGCTTTTCAACGTCAGTAAATGCAAGGTGCTTTCCATCCGACATCAGGGCAGCTACTCATACCGACTCGGAACGAATATACTACAACAATCAGCCGTCGAACGTGACTTGGGTGTCCTGGTTCAAGATGACTTGGGTTGCTCCAGGCAATCCGAAAAGGCCTCGAAGACCGGGAATCAACACGTTGGGCTGTTGAGGCGGGCGTTTGGACAAATAAACAGCTCCATATTTCGACAAATGCTCAGTGCGTAGGTTCGCCCCCATGTCGAATACGCAATTTAAGCCTGGCATCCATGGCTGAAACACGACCTTACTGCGTTGGAGCAGCCACAACGCCGGGCATTTAAGAACGTAATTGGAATGCGCAACTTTTCCTACCAAGAGAGGCTGAAACGATTGGGGATGTTCAGTGGAAGCTATCGCAGCCTACGAGGCGACCTGGTTATGGCATACTTGATTCTACGAGACCCACATCATGTGTGCCGCTTTTTACTGCAACTCAGCAGCAATACAAACTTGAGGGGCCGCTCATTAAAACTCGCAGAACAATACAGTCGTCTGGAATGCCGCAGAAATTTCTTTTCCATCCGTGTCTGTAACCCGTGGAATGCTCTCCCAGAATCGGTCGTCTCTGCACCAACACTAACAGTATTTAAAAGACGGTTGGACGATGCACTCATCCACTTACACTTTGTTACTTAACACTACGTCTCTATCCTACACCTGGAGTTTACCATGGAATTATTCGTTGTTGTGGGTGCAGTGAATCTAAGAGGATCGCAGGACTACAGCTGAGCAAACGATAAGCCCTCATTTTCGTATTTAAATTATTATCTATTTTACTATCCTTATCATCATTCTTGTTATGTCGATATCTCCACCAACAATCCAACGGGACTTGTAAAGCAACGCTTCTTAACCCGTATAACTTCATTGTTCATTGTTCGTTGTGTACTGGTAACATGCAGAAGAGGATCAGTTAGTTCCAGAGCAGTCGGCAAGTCACACATCGCTAAGGGCATTGAATTCATCTTGTCATTCTCACGCAGTGGCGGTTTTACCATTGAAAATGACAAATGGTTGATATCGACGGGAGCTACTCACTGGACGTAAGCTGAGACGTGAGAGAGAATACAACCTGCCTTGTATGCACATGGCATATAGACTGACGACAATTCACCCATCGGTACATCGAAACAAAACCAGTGTTGTTCCGAACTCATGTGACTTCCGACGCAACATATACACATCAAATGTATATGAGTTAGATCCAGAATGGAGTCGATCATATATCGATCAGAATCCCCCTACTACTTCAATTGTGAGTCTAATCGAAAGAGCAAATGAGCTCATCGTGGTTGTGCGCAGCACCACTGCCTTGCGTACGTGTTATTGTCACTGTTTATCAACTTCTATGTCGCTTTATGTCAATGTAAACATATAAAATTAGTTAGTGTTAAGAAACATAATTTCAACTTTTCTCAAGACACCTCGTCACAACTGATTCCGAGCCGACCGCCAAAAAGTTTGGATTGGAAACGCAGCCATGACTTCAGCGTAATTCTTAAAACAAACTACGCTCTAGTGAACTGAATGAAACCAGATTTTCAAAATCAAGTGAACGTACTCGGTCCAACCATAACACCGAAAGGAGAGTTTGGTATTTGCTGCCCAGCAAAGAATACGTTCACTGAATGGAGACCCTCTTCTTTTGGCATATACTCAACCAAATAATTATCTTCTCCCTGTTTTGTGATTACGGGTTTCACTGTGTCCCGGCCTCCGTGGGGATCAAGAATAACACAGTCCACGTTACCTGGACCAGCGGCTAGAATGAAAGGTGGGAATCATGTAAGTAAGCGCTAACTAGTGTCCAGTGAACCAAATCGGAAACGATCTTATCTGACCCTCACTGATAGAAGTTGTCTGAGAGTAGCTACCCGGTGCAGACGATGTCTAGTTACAGCAAACCAACTTTTGTCTGTCAGCCAAGACTAACTACAGGGTGCCTTATCAAAAAAATCATCTTTCTTTGAAACGACTAATCCATGTTTGTAGGGTTAGTAGAATGGTTAACAACAAAGTTGTTGTCATTACAACATACACACATCGAAAAGCCAGAAAGTGGGGTAGTGTCCCCCAGGTAGGTGAATGTGTGTATAAAAGCGTGGAAGACGTTTGGGCAATTAACGGATCACGTATCAAGTTGCTGTGGAATATATAGAGAGTTACGGTGCCGGAAAAGTAGTTGTACGATTCAGGTTGGTGAAGTGCAAATTCGAACAACGTAGAGAACACCACACAAATGACATCACATAGTGACGACGAGTAACGCATTCTAATCAGACCGAACAACATTTAGAAGGTGGGAGCTAAGCCACCGCAGTTGTTTAGTAAAGCGCACTCACTGTCTGAATTGGGCACTTCTGCAGAGGGAAGCATGGAATAAGTCGAGGCGAGCTAGTTTTAGAAACAAACTACTGTGCTCTTGCTTCGTTGTGACATTCACATCGACGGAAGTGCAGTACAAAGACGCATAGGATCGTACTGAGCATGGTTAGACTTGCTGGCTTGTGGTGGACTAGTAACGTGGGATACTACTTACAAAACATGAGTAATATGGGGAATCCAAGGACTGGTGAAAAGACGGAAGACTGGACAGAAAGATGACCAAAGGGGTGACTGCATGTAAGCTATCATCACTAAGACAAAAAGGTGCTGGCGGAACGAGAAACTAGCAAACAAGCCCACACAGATTACTCTGGTCCTGGTCACAAAACAGTAGAGGCTGAGAAAGCAAATATCCAGTTTGCTTTACTGCATTTTTTGATCTCTTAATAACTCGATAGACCTTTTGTGATAACTGAACGTGGTGTGGACTTAAGCTATTAACGGCAAGTGTCCTAAACTTTTAGAGTTCAATTTCAGTTAACACGGTAATACAATTGGTTGAGTTCATTCACACGGGTGAAAATTGCACAGCTGGTTGTAACCGGAAACGGTCTCAGGCATTACGCCAAAATGATTGACTGGTTCAGTTAATGGGTAGGTGTGACAGGAAGTTTGAGATACTGCCGTTTCACTGAGCACACAGGACGACATGATTCCAGTAGATTACATTCCTGTGATAGCAAAAGAAACTGGTTGAACGCGAACAAGTTAGTCTTAACGGAGAGTGTACATACCTGGGCGAGGGATGGAGTCGTCTTGAGACAGGTTACATGAGCGAACCAAAATCGCTTATTAGAATTTGAACACTAATCACACATGCAGCTAGATGCTAAGCTTACACCCTAGTTTATGGGGATACAATTCTACTTGTAGTTGACTTGTGGCTCCCGTAGTGCCCGAGGACATAACGTGACTTAACATAAACAAGCATGACGGTGGAACCGAACGTACCGGCTGTGAAAATGTTGAAGAAAGTTCGGCGACCTGCCTGGTTTCCCTGTGGTTCAATACCGGGTCCAGAAGCGGTCGCCTTGCTCGCATCCCCGACAGCACCTTCAACCATCACTTTGAACGGCGAGTTGAGGATCTCTTTTGTGGCGAACTTGATGATGACTCTGTACTCGCCCTCTTGGGTCGGCACGTAGGCACATGAGTAGGTTTGCTGACGATCGTTGTTGCTGAGAATCTCACACTAGAATGGTAATTAATATGTATAACATAATTTGTAGTACAAACTGCTAGTATACTACTTGTAAGTAAACCGAATAGCCTAATTCGTTGTGAGCTACGTTGCGAACAAATGAAAAAGCCTATTTGAACTCTTCATATCGCAGTACCGGGTAGATAGTCAACAGACATCTGAAACGCATCAGACGGCCGTTTCGTCCTTTCTGAACTTGTCCGCGTTTCATTTTCCTCTCAGCTAATCAATGACTAGAAGCTGTGGTAAAATGGTTGGAAGTACCAGGGGAGAAAATCTTTTCTGATATGTAGCTGCTCAAAGATGACTACTGTAGTTCAGTTGCTCATTTGTTCACCGAGCTGGGAAATTTGTTTGCAAACGTTTCACCGCCATGCGAGGCAGCATCATCAGTGCGTCGAGACGTGGAGCGTAATCTCGCTGATTGAATTGTCGATCCGTAATCGGCGTGCAGGTGACTATTTGAAAGTGACGACTCCGATCTGCGTCCCGTGCTTTCTACCCATTTCCCAGCGGCGGAACTAATCACTCTGATTGTTCCTATTCAAGCGGTGGCTCGTAATTTCTTTAAGTTCTTTCCGTCGGAGGAGCTGGTAAACTGGGTCAATGTCGATATGCATGTTGATCGAGTCTTTTGTTGAGAACCACGCTTCCATGAACTCCCTTTCCCTTCTTGTTTCGCCTCGTAGCAGGACTTCTGTTTTGGCCCTATCAAAGCTGTGTTCTTTTTCATCCACGTGTACTGAGACTAGCGAGGATGCATAGCGCCTTTTGCATGCTCTTTTGTGCTCTTGTAATCGTGTTGATAATTTTCTACCTGTTTGGTCAACATAGTCCTTTTCGTAATTTCTACAACTTCGTTTATATACAACATTACTTTGCTCATGAGCTTCCAGTCTCTCTTTCGGTTCTAACAGAGTTTTCCTCAATGTGGCAGCTGGTTTGTGTGCTACGATGAGGTGATGTTGTTTGAATAGTCTTGCTGCCATTTCGGATATATTCTTCATATAAGGAAAAACAACGCGTCTCTCTGTCGTTGGTGTAGACTGTCTGTTTGGTTTGTTGTAGTTCAGACACCTTCGGATGAAGCTTCGCGGGTATCCGTTGAGTTGGAAACATTTAAATAAATGCTTCTCTTCTTGTTGCTTTGCCTCCGCGGTACTGCAGTGTGTTTGCACTCTACCAAAGTCACCTGCACGCCGATCACGCATCGACAATTCAACCAGTGAGATTACACTCCACATCTCGACGCACTGATGATGCCACTTCGTATGGCGGCGAAACGTTAGCAAACAAGTTTCCCAGCTCGGTGAACAAATGAGCAACTGAATAATCAACCCGAGCTACCAGTTTTCCGAAATATTTTAAAGGAACTTTGATGTATCCCCAACCTGGATTGCTTGCTTGAGGACACGGTATCTCTATTCCCCAATTATTCTGCTCATTTTACGTTGCTTTACTCTGTGTGTTACAATCAGTCACCATGTCGTACATTTATTCCATTCACTCTCAATCACTGACATATCCTTGACGTTTCAAGGTCATTCATATTATTAGGTTACTGTGACAATGCCCAAATACTCGCACGTCGCCGCACGCTGTACAGTTTCTGCCCACTTGCATTACGATTGCAAAACCTATTCGTAAATCATGTACTGTACTTAATATGCCTTATAGAATCACATGTTACAGGATAATTCGTTTTGTTTTCCTGCCCAAACCGTGCGTTAAGTCTAAGTTTAGTTGCTCGTAGTTTCTAGTTTAGTTTTCCTACGACGTACTTAGTTTAGGCTTCGTATCCTTAGTACAACTACACTGAGGAGCTCACCGGTTCGCGTTGTCCCTTTGGATTGAGAACAATCACTTCGACTTGACCGCGACCAGCGCTGAACGTATCGATGGTGAATCGTGCGGGATTACCAACGCTGTTTCCGTGAGGTTCCAGGCCTGTCGAAAGGGAACACGTTCGGGGTTATAGGATTTGGCGACCTTTGACTCATTCAGTAAAAATAGAACAAATCATTTCGGTAAACTGCAGGTAACTCATGATGTTCAGAACAAAGTAATTGGATCTGAGTGTGCTATCTGATCAGATACAAACTAGCAACTAGTACGGAGAGGAAAAATTAGTGATCCAGATGCTGTCATTTCATATGATTTGAATGTGGTTTTTGTTCTCAAGGATTTTCCAACCAATTCAGTTGAGCGCGCTCAACAGCTCGAACTGCAACCTCGGAACTACAGTGTTGGTCAAGCACGGGTGTGAAGGAAAGGCGCAACTCCTCTAACGTAGGTAGATCACGGATAGACTAAAGGGTGACCAATAAGCTCAGATGATAACCTCATTATTAGTTCGAATAACTTTGTCCTTATCTAAAGATTTCAAACATGACAAGGAAGAAGGAAATTTAGTCTGGATGACACAAATTCCATTTCCCTGACCAATTCCTAGAACGTCTAGGTATCTTATTAAATCACTTCTAATATAGCGGTTTATCAGTTAGATTCATTTACTCACTGTTGAGATGGGGATAGAGGAATCAGCCGAATACCTGTACGAGAAGTCTATTTTTACACCAACTGCAGGGGGTGACATAAGCTGGTTCGACGGCGAGATTTAGATAACCAGTACTGTATTACTGATTCCGAAATATATAGAATAATCACATGAGAGCAAGGGGGTTGTATAGTGCAGTCCAAACAAAGGAAAAACGGGACGCTGAAATTTGACCACAGAATCGAAGCCGTTTGTCTGAAACGAAGACAATATAACTTGAAGAATACAATTGGAAGACGAAGTTCGGAAGTTGTATGCATTTCGTATCGTCTCATCAGTAATTTTATATAACAGTTTGTGGGTACAGACATGGTTGGCGGCATCTGGTTTCGGATTTGCCTGTCATTGTGGCCAGCCACAGGACGCCTGCGCCTATAGAGGGACCATGGATGGCTTGCGCTGCACCACCCACAGCTCCATCCACACACCCCATATTCAGTGTAAACCCGAAGGAATAAGACCGGGAGGCATGTGGATGGGAGCCACCTTGCATCAACGGAGCCGGCCCACACTCTTTCACAGGCAAACACAAGCACGCTGTATTTGGGGAATCAAGTGCACACAAGGTGGTGGCTTCACCGCAGTCCGCTCCAACCTGAGTGCATGGAACCACTCTTCGAGCCTGGCACGACCACAAGAACCGTGCACCCCGTACCCTCCAGCAACGATCAACTGTCTCCTGGAGCCAGATGAACGAGGTAGTGGGTAATAGACAGGTAGGCACCTTGTCAACATGCACATCAAGCGCAGCCACACCTGGGATGTCAAACAACAGCCAATTATTCGAAATACCGATATCGAATAAAGTAAACGCATATGACGACATAAATACTCGCTAAATTGGCATATGGAAGAAATCGGTTATAAGTGATTCCATGATAAGTACAAAATGTCCGAGGTATTTAACAAAATACCACGCGGTACAATTACGCAAGTTTACCACAATTTGCATGAGCGACGTGTGCAAGTTGGGAGAAGATTATCAGGTACGTAGAAGAAACCAAATAAAATGTAATGAATTGTATCCACATTTAAAAGACCTAGTTTAAATGCAAGTTGGTTTAGCCCAATTGCGGTGAAGAAGCATTATGAATGCGACATCAGCCTCAGCGTGGGGCACAAGAGTACAAACATACATGCCAACAAACGGGAGAAAAAAACGGGTGTTTTTCTTCTACAACCAAGGCAGTCTGAGGCTGACCGATAATTGTTTTTGAACACAAAGCACTGGCTTAATCCCATTAATGGCAATAGCCTCGGCAAACCGGAGGAGTCGGGAATTAGTATGGCGAAGGAGGATGCTAAACACCTTGTTGACCTCAATTCGGTGACCCGATGTCAATAAGTGCCTGCCGATCGAAGACGCTGGCGGCCTGCGTACACCTATAGTCTGATTTGGACTTGTTTGCTGACTAAGCCCCCATTGAACCCATTTTTGTACATGCTCCTTTATTCGGGAACTCACGGTTCTATTGCTTCTGCCTATGTAACTATCCGCGCAGTCACATACCAATTGATATACGCAATGGGAGTTGGCGTCAATAGACTGAGTTTTTTTAGCCGAGGCAATGGTAGTTTAGGAGTTCGGTCAACGATTACAACTTCGGCAGCACAGAAAGTGCTCTGTGTGGCGGAAATCATACGTCTTCCGGTCCTGAAAGAAGCAATGTCACCCTTAAAGGGAAGCTTTTATTTCATGGATTTCGCTATGCTTCCGGATAACTTTTCGAGGGTAACCATTAGCAATTAACGTGTTAGTAATTAGTTCTAATTCCCACTGCATATGTCAATTCGTATGTAACTGCGGGGATAGTTACATAGGCAGAACCAATGGAACACTAAGTTTCCGAATGAAGGCATATACCAAAATGGGGTCAATCCGGGACTATTCAGCAAGCAAGTCCAAATCAGACTACGTGTGTACGCAGGCCGCCAGCATCTTCGATCGGCAGGCACTTATTGACATCGGGTCACCGAATTGAGGTCAACAAGGTGTTTAGCATCCTGCTTCGCTACACTAATTCCCGGCTCCTCCGGTTTGCCGAGGCGATTGCCATTAATCGGACTAAGCCAGTGCTTTGTGTTCAAAAACAATTATCGGTCAGTCTCAGACTGCCTTGATTGTAGAAGAAAGACACCCGTCTTTTTCTCCCGTTTGTTTGCATGTATGTCTGTACCCACAAACTGTTATATAAAATTACCGGTTCTCGTTATCTGCGCCGATGATACGATACGAAATGCATGCATCTGCCGAACTTCGTCTCTAATTGTGCTTTTCAAGTTACTAAGGGGAAGCAACTGTTTTGAATTTCTCAGACGACGAATTCCCCCTGATTCCAGAAGACAATATAATCACAAAATGTAAGCGGACCATGGTCACCCGTGTCAAGAGTTGATTTTCCTGTATCATTCGGGAACAAATACAATGAAAAGAGGCATTTTGCAAGAGGAAATCAGTTAACGATATCTGCTCACATGCAAAGTAGCAACATAATTAAGGATGGTTGAAGGAAGGTGCAATAAGTTGAGTGCTGTTAGAAAAGACAGAGAACATGGCACAAGGTGTTACAAATTCACAAGTTGTGGAACGAGTACTACTATCCCAAAGGCAGTGTGTGTGTGTGTGTGTGTGTGACAGCTAGTTGTTTTTGCACACATAAGTCCGGGGGGCTGCGATTCCTGGTAGCGGCCACAGCGATCCTGACTACTTCGGCATTTGTATTGCGACAGATAAACGTGAACTCAAGGTCAGAGTCGGTAGCGTTGCACCAGTCTATCGCGCGAAAATTCGAGTTCAAATAATAGAGGAGAAAAGTATAATTTCCTAAACATAAACGTTTGCTGTTCCATTTTCAGCAACAAGCAAATATATTATGTTATGTTACTGAATTTTCACCTTTATAATTGCTGTTTGTATTTAAATTATAGAACACAATTTGCTGTTCGAAATGATTTGGAATATTAGTAGCTCGGGAGGCTTGCTCAGTTGTTGTGGCGTTCTCCGAGCTAGGCAACTTGATTGCAAACGTTTCGCCATCATTCGAGGTGGCATCTTCAGTGCGGGATTGATGGCAGTTAAATAGCAGTAGCTGGTAGTGCGAACGCAAATTGGTGCTCCGTTGCGATGGATGAAAAATGATAAAAGCGAACAGTTTGGTTGAGTAAACGGCTGCCATAGTCAAGTCAAGTCAGTATAAGCTTTGTGTACCCAAAAGGGTTGGTGGTCTGAGAGTACGCTGAGCTCGGCAGTGTGACTGTAATTTCGGAATTTCAGATTACCAACTGTAAAGGGTTACCATTAAAAATACTAAGTTTACAAATGGGTAGAAAGATGAGGATGCACTGTCATTGGTCGATCGAGCAACGATCCCAAAAAGCTGGACTAAAACTTCGGGATTTGTATCTATGGAAAACAGAAAAAGTTTCATGAAAATGTTTCTACGCAATTCGTTTCAACTGAGCTAGGATTTTGTGTCCAGAGAGACAGAGAGTGAGAAAATCGTGCGCGATATGTCGCGTGCATATTCGAAGTTGGAGAGAGTGAAGAGTCCCAGTGACCTTGGAAGATGAGTTAACAAAATACCTGTCGCTGTACTCTTGCAATACTGATGTATATACGGTAGATAATGTAAAAATGATGTTGGGCGAAAAATGCAACGGCCGATTTAAAGGCCCCGTCACTGCTAAAGACGTTGGGGTATATGGCTGCAAAACACATTAGGCGTATAAGTTGCGGGGTTACAGCCGGCATTTAGAAAATACGGCCGAACACAGAAATTTATCCCTTTTATGCAAAATCTCAGGAGTCTTTCATTAAAACAAAAATAAAGTGTTCTCAGTAACTCGAAGAAAAAGTAAGGCATTAAGCTGTTGCCCAGCTTTTAAATGTCAGGTAAATGTGTTTACGAATCAATTTGTTTATAGAAAGCCCTTTGAAATATAAACTGGTGAAACACTACCGTTTGAGTAAATCTGGTGACCTTGCCGAACCATTAGCTCGGTTCTTTCAACGTTGTCTCGACGAAATGTACCTTGCTACAATGTGGAAACATGGAGTAGTCACACGTATTTACAAAAGTGGTAACCGTTCGGAGCCCCCGAACTACCGTCCAATCACTCTCCCAGTTTTATCCAAAGTAATGGAACGTATAATTGCAGAGGCGCTCATGAGATATCTTGAGAGCAACAACATCCTAGTGTCACAGCAACACGGATTCCGCCGAAATCGATCATGCACTACAAACTTGCTACTAGCCCGGGCAAGCTGGACAGAGTTAGTCGATGGCAGAGTGGGAGTCGACGTTGTCTACCTGGACTTCTCGAGGGCATTCGATTGTTAGGACCACCACATTCTCCTTCACAAGCTTCGAAGCTATAGAATCGGTGACCC